TACCACAAAATCATAGTTTAGGTTTTCATCTCAAGATGTAATCTTCAATGCACTGAATGTAATTCATTCCTTTTTAGCARCTATTCAAAAGGCTTACTAAACAAGTCAGAGAGGTAAACCAGTACATGAACAACCAACGTTTATACAGCTTCAAGGTAAGAGTGAAAAAAGAAATTAATTCTAATTTAAGATGATAAATAAAGAGAAAAAAAACTTAATTAAAATTTCAATAAACTGATTAAGCTTAATATTTAAGATTTCATGTATTTATTTAAAATATTCAATTCTATTAGCTATTATTTTAAAATATAATAACTATAGTGTAATAATAAATAATATTTATTAATCAGCATTAATAATTTATTGTTAATTAATATTAAAAATAAGTAACAAAAAACCCTCATGTTTCACACAAGATCTGGTCATAGCAACCAGTTGATTTCATATATGTTTTACAGCACAGTTATTATTACAATATTTACCATATAGTCAGTTATATGATTGAAGCTGGCCTGACCTGACATCACTTACTGTCAATGTACGGCACAGTCCATTTCATTATCACATCCAGTCTCATAATTCAGTGCCCATTAAATTTTTATCTTTCTTAATCCTTCTGTATATAGCACCATCTTAACAATGAAGGCATAGCAAGCCCTGCACTGCGAAGAAGCCAGTTAGCTGTAGCACTCAGTAGAAACAGAGAGATCCCTGCCACTCAAGCACCTAATGARCCAATCACTGACCTGGGACCTGCGTCAATTACCAGGCCAGTGAGTCGTCAAGAGAGGTAACTGTTGCAGTTGGAAATTGATGAATTTTGTTTTCACCAAGTGTTATATTTTCCAACAAGTGCAAAATATTCCACATGTGGCCACAGTCCCTCCACTAACTCCAAATAAAGTCCATAACATCTCATTTACTTTAACAAACAATTACAATCGGTGTTACTACAACTATATAAATTTACAAGACGAAAAACGGAAGAAATATAACGACTACTTACAAGATTTGTGGCGACTACGACTTCGACTGTGACAATGGATATTACGAAACGAACTACTTATATGCTAACTGACTTACACGATGGAATTTACATTAACGTTCTTACTTACAAACAATAGAAAACAAAACAAGGTACAATGCTCGTGTCTACACCACATCCACCATTTTTAACAGACATTTTAATAGCCTCCTTTACGGTTGCCTGCGCCGTCTTGAAAGGTAGCTGTGCCTTTACATCAAAGCGAGACAACTGTTGAGTGTGCAATGATAGATACCTGTGAATAATGGTCTATAGGTGTGAAAGAAGGTTTCTATCATTGCACGCTCAATCGTCATTTTGCTTTGATACAAAGCCACGGCTACCTTTCAAGATGGCACAGGGAACCGTGAAGACTATTGCAATAAAAACTTACAGAGTTTTCTCTTTATAGGGATTCTCAATCTGTTTCATCAGGTCCTCGTCCTTCATCATCCATTTCATCGAGGCCAAACTCATCAGCAAGTCGCGTCTACCATAGACAAGTCAGTGCAAAGAGATCAGCCAGTGCAAAGGCCATGGAAAAACAGAAGGAAAAGGAACTCAGGGAAGCTGATGACCTAGCAAAGGAACAGTGGATCAAAGATGATGAAGGCTTTGAAGAACTCTTTGTTCCAGAAGAAATTGACATTGAGAACATGGCSTTTAGATTCCATGATCCATACCCCAAAACATGGGTTGACGAGACTGTTGAGGATGTKTTATTTAGAGGGAAAAGAAAAGTTGATCCATTTATGCATAGACTTGACGAACTAGAGGACCTTCAAGAGGAAACAGTTTTATGGGAAAAAATAAGAGACGAAAAAACAAAGCCAACTTTTACACATTTACAAGTGAAAAATGCCTTGAAAACGTCACGAGGAAGTTCTGCCAAATGTCAAACTGGGTTATCACGAGCAAAATCACCAGGGAAYAAGATTAAGAGAGCCACTTCGGCAGGGCGTGGCAGCACAACCTCAATTGGARTATCTGGGTCAGAGGAATCTGATATTCCTACTTTTCGGAACAGTGGGTACGACATGGGTGTGTCTTTCGAACTTGGGTCAATGTACCCAGAAACACGTCCTAAGTTAAAAGATAAGAAAACAGACGCAGATCATGCCATTCAAACAACAAAAGTGCTTGTGCCGAAAGCGAAACCACGATCTCCACAGTGCGAGGCATGCCATTATAAAAAGACGGTGAAGAAACACAGGAATTGCAAAARTGCAATACCAACATTAAAAGCCATGCGAGCGCAGTATAACCTCAAGGCTACAGAATGCTATGATATTGTCGATATAGCACAATCATTTGTACCACCTTGTAAAAATAACRCAKTGACAACTAAAAAARCACTYACAACTGATGAAAAAGCAGCAAAGAAAGGAATTGTTTCAGGAAAAAGTAGCTTTTCACAAAGAMGGATTTCTCTGACATCTGAAGGGATGGCAGTCAAAGGGATAAATCCCATTCTTAATAATTTTGCAAAGCTACAAACAAACAGCAAGAAATCTACAGGGAAGGAAGGCAAGAAGACAACAGGAAGATGCAAATAAAATTTAGGATATAACTATTTAAGATGGTTTAAATAAGAATTAAATATTTTGACTACAAGATGAAAATATCATAATAAAATCGTAATATTTATTTGACTACAATAGTATGTACATTGTGAATTTTATTGCAAAATGTCTTCTTTTTTTTTGTTTGGATTTGGTTTGTTTCTCTCCCCAAACACAAAGGATCAATGGAAGTAAAAAGAAAAAGTAACGACATTTCTTGCTGCGAGTTCAGGCTTTCTTTGATGCAATGTGACCCATTAAAAGAGCAAGAGAAACGACTGGTTAGACTGTCACATCCGGACAAACGACGGTTACATGTAACTGTCATTTGTCCGAATGTGACACAGACTAAGACTGGGTAAGAGTCTGAGCCAAAACCAATTCTTTGCTCAGCACCAAACAAGGAACGCCTTCACGCAGGCTAAATTGTACATTACTTTTGTTTGATTTAAGAAATTATTTTTGAATGTTTTTGTATGCTTGTGTTTGTGTCATCTTGCAATTCATTGTTCATCTGTTCTATAATGTCTTGTCCTTGTACTGTATTATTGTTCTGTGMCATTTGTTTTCTCTATATTTAGTAATTATATTACTTGTTCCCAGCAGCTATTCAAACCATTATACAGTCCTTACACATTAGTACATATGAAGTCTTTCAGAACGATAACGATTGCGTAATTCTCCTCCTCTTTGCCAGGTTCTTACATGTTGTTCACTATGTTGCTCCATCTCTGATTCACTATCTTTAAAAAGGTCTCCACTAATGGAAAAAGAACACAATTAGCTTTGATAACATGTTTGGATAATGTTTTTTAAATTTCTACTTTCTTGTCCCTCTAGCTGTTGGCTTTGACAATGTTTTTGAATAAATTATTCTTGGAGAAACAACTTGGAGGAACTTCAGTAAAGGTTTTTACATAAGTATCTATGGTTCATTCATCCAACATGGCCACCGGTCTTTTATCTTTTGAACCTCATGGGGATAGTTGAAAATGATCAATATTTGAAAAGAGTTGATGCAAATCTATGACTTTACCTAGATATAAGCGTGATACTACAGTTTTTACTTACAAGTACAACTTATTGAGTAGAATTGATGCAAGTCTATGACTCTACCTAGATATAAGTATGATACTACAGTTTTTACTTACAAGTAATATTCATATGCTGAGTAATAATAAATAATCAAACCAACAGCAAAAAATGGTGTAAAAACTGCATACAAAATGATCTTGAATGTTGAAATCTGAAAGACAAGTAATTGACAGTCAGAATAAGTCCTGAGAGCCTTTGCCAACATAACCAGCATACATTTAGTAGTTCTTTGAAAAGGAGGAAAGAGTTGGAGGTTATGAAGGGAAAAGAGAGAGCCTGCTCCTTGCTACTACATTGTATGTTTTAGATAGTGGGCACTTTTTTGGAGCCCTGCTCTGTTGTGTTGTGTTTTCCTTGCCTCTTTATTAAAGTTTTTATTGCTTATTTTATTTTTTTATTTTTTTTATTTTATTTTTGTTCTATTTCATTCTACTTATATTATATTTTTTATGTAATGTTTAATCTTTTTAATCTTTTTTAAGGCAAAAGTTAGTAAATCAATAAATAAATTTACTACATAATGTTTAGGGTTCTCACCTCATCGTGTGGTGGTTTCCAGTAATTTTTGCAGGTCAACAAAGAGCAGATATTGTTTTGTGTAGATTCTTGAACAAAAATAATTGAAAAATGGTACAAAAGTAACAAGCTTTTTTCTCAAAACCAAACAAATCAGTGTATTATGATATGGAGTTCACATAATCGCAAAAAAAATTACAGTTACTCACCATAGATATGATATTCTGTGTTATTCAATAAGTTACCATTTGGCAGACAACTATGCATTAATTTTTCACATCTTTTTCTAAGAAGAGCCATTTTTTCCTCTCTGCATAGAGATTTCTCCCAGAASGTATCCCTCCTGTAGTCCATCAAGAAGTCACATCGGAAAACATCGCAGTARTCCGCTAGGCAAACAGGGGATTCCTGGTAATAAGCAAAGTAAAATAAATTAAATGGTATGCAGAACTAATATTGAGCTATTGTAGAACGCTACTGTACTTTAACAAGAAGGTCTTGATGCTTGTTATCAAAGTGCATATCTAGATATTGCTCTCCATAAAAGACCTTTCCACAAACATCACATCTCCATCTTGACTGGTGTTCCTCTATCCTGTTAAGTTCTTGCTTGATGAAGACATCATGGTCTTCATGGAGTGGACATGCTTTGTTAGGGTCTAAGTTGTGTTGTTCATAAACAGGAAAAAAATCCTGAAAAAGACAAAGGATGAGTGGGCAGGCTTTGTTGGGGTCTAAGTTATATTGTTCATAAACAGGAAAAAAATCCTGAAAAGACAAAGCATATATTAAAAAGATCTAAAAAAACCTAAAAAATTGTCTACTCATCCTTAATTCTGAAATGAGCAGTTCCTTTTTGTTGTTTTGTTATTGTTATTAATTTGAGAAGAATGCTTATGCTTATTAGATGCTCAAAAAAACATATTGATTACTTCTCTCATTTTCAGTGACGAAAGAAACAAAGGATTTACAGCCCTCTTGTACTTTTTTCCTTATTCTCTCCATTGCTCTCCTAACTCAAACCCCCTCGCCCAACTTTTTGGAAAATTCAAATACCATCACCCCAATTCATATTTACTGTACCCTGCAGTCCTTGAGGCAATACTAGTATCAGTAACACAGAAAAAAAGTAACAATAAAACCTACTGCCAATGAGGTCATTTTGTGCAAAAGTAAGCTTATAAAACATTTTGCATACCTTTCTAAGTGTACTTCTAACTACTCTTGATCCTTCCCTAGAGCAATGAAACTCTTCACTATTACTTTCATGTGAATAAGCTACAGTAACCATCCCCTTCAACAGAAAGTCATGAAGTTAATCTGTGTTAAGATTCTCAATTGTCGTACAATGACATTTGCAATTGAAGATTGTTGTGCAAACTTACAAGAACGTAAAAACATAACTTCCATGAAGAAGAAATCATAAGAACTTCGCACAGTGAAAACCAATAAAGATACTATGTTATTGCTAAGTATTGTACGTCGACATTCATAGAGTTGGAGAAAAAAAACAATGAAAAATTTGCACAAACTTTGCACTACAGTACAGTGCCGCCATTTTGAAATGTTTCTATTCCCAGTCCCTGCAGCTAAATGTTAACAGGAAACCCAAATATTTACATTTCTGAACGACCCAAAAACTCCCTCTGAAACGCTTAATTAAAATATCAAAGGTGATATGACCTTATCGAAACAACTTCATTTATATTCCAAACAGTTTCAAACCATTTAGGTGTCGAAAAAAAGCAAAAAAATTGAAACAATTTGTATTGTACGTGGGTTTCCTGTGGCGAGGGCACGTTGATCATTTGTGGCCAGGTCCACAGACAATCACCAATTTTATTTGGATTTTTCTTCAATTCATCGCCTCAAGAGCTAAAACTCTCTTRTAAAACCTCTAAATACAACATCAATGGGTCGTTCAAAGAGGTAAGTTTAGTATTTTAGTGTCAAAATGAAGAGTTTTGTTGTGATTTCGCTAGTTGTTGACTTGCTGGCCATTCTTCACGTGTCACAGAGGAAAGAAGTCTAAAAGGCCGGACAGCGACGAAGAAGATGCCATTAGAGATGAAGGACCTGATCCAGTAAGTTTTTTGTTCTTTTTGATACTCTTTCAATTCAAATCTTAAAATTGATTTAAAGTTAAAACTTTTCATAAGTTGAAAAAACGAAAAATAAAAATTTGAAAGCTAAGTTTTTGAGCATGAGATAAGAACTTAAACTCAATGAACTTGGCTTTTATTCGAAATAGCTTTTAAGTATCTTATTAGACAAAGTTTGTTTCTTTACTTTAAATCTGAAACCCAATCAATCTATAAGTACATCTCTTCCCCACACACCCCACCCTTGCTAAAAAAAGGTTTTGTTATATCAGGAATCTGATGATTTCTTCCATGATGATGTAGACAAGTTTAATTTGAACAGAGAAAAGGTATTTCTACATGTACATGAGCAAAAGGTTAAGTCAGTAGTTGGCAATATTATTATATCAAATACAATATCTGCTAATTTTCAAACTGTACATTTACAAATGTTAAATACATGATTATTTTTTCTATATAGTTATTGCTAGATGTTGAAGGTGATGATTCTGAAGATGAAGATTCTTTTGAAGAAGAAGTGAGTTCAAACAGGAATTTCATAGAAGCCTGCAACCAGCAAAATCTGGCGTCTATTTTGACYTATGGGACATTCTTGTACCTAGATCCTTCTAATCTCTGGAGTGAGACGATCTGGAGTCGTATGATATGATGCTTGGAAATTTTTGAAACAATCTGACAAATCAAAGAATTATTCGTTTCTAACCAGATTCTTTGATTTCCGAAWCTGAGAAAGATTTGTGTACGAGAATGCCTTGTCAGCGGCTGCCTTTGCCAAATTATGGTTGTAATCCTTGCAGCTGTTTCTGATTTATGCACAGTTACTTTTTCAGAACTGCCATCTACTTTCACATGTAGTGAAACCYTTGATGTAAATGGATTTTAATGCATTTTTAAATAAATATGTAAAAAAAAAACTGTTTTCTGTGTCTAGGAAATAATGGGTCTAGATCTGCCAGAATCGGGTGATGACGACGATGTAAGTTTGCATTTTTTACTACCAACTTGAAAGTCAAAAAGAGTGTGCAATTCTGATGCACTCTAAGAGATCACTGTTACTTGTACCTCAACAGTTTACTTTTCTTTTAAGGATGAAGAAGAAAATGATGAAGACGAAGACAGTGAAGAAGAAACTAGTAAGACAAAGAAAATTATTTTAAATAACAAAATTATCGATCTCATTTACACTCTTATTATTCCTGGTGTTCAGARCTTCCCAGTAACAAGTCTTGGGGCAAGAAAAAGGCATCATTTTACAGTGCTGATGCTACTGAACAAGACATTGGTAAGTTTTTAACTAAGTTGYTTAATTTGTTTTTAATTTGATGACTTTAACCAATCAAAACTACACGGTTGTTCATGACATTTCATATACTTTTTCCATCACAGGATCAGACGAGGAGGCATGGGAAWTGGAAAAAGAGGAAGAAATAGAAGCAATGGCCTTGCAGCAAAGAATGGCTGCAGGCTTGGATGAAGAAGACTTTGACACAACTAACTATCAGGTGGGTTTTCTAGTTAAAAAGGGTGCGTTGATAAATTGCTTCATGTAACAACATGTGGTAAATGCAATGAAAGTGGGCGCAGTGTATGACACTAGTCTACACGTACTACAGAGCATCAATCAATATATAGCTATTTCAAACAAGGTAATTTGTCAGATAAAATGGCGAATGTCAATGGTCGAATGGCGATTGCACGAGCAAAAGTAACCACAAGTTGTGCTAGTTGAAAGGCAATAACAACTGATTTGTACTGTAAGATGGTCTGTGGTAAACATTGGATCCATGGGATTGACTTTGAGTCTATTCATTTTTCTTAAGTTCATGTTCGAGTTCAATGTTCTTTAATAGATTCCTCAAGAAGACGATACGGAAGACAGATCGCTTGAAGATGAAGAGGTACAGCTACAGCTACAATAAAAAAATTATTTAGACTCTTCCTGATATATGTATTAAATCTATTACCTCTCTGTTTTGTAGATTGATAAAACTGTYGTTATGGATCTAACCAAACTATCAAAAGAACAAAAACTAGAGGTAATGTTAATCGATTCATACTAGACATTATTTCAAATACTAATAATAATATTCTAATAATAAATTATAATTGTTTTCATACATAGATGTTGTTTCGGGACTCTCCAGAGTTGTTTGAGCTTTTGGATCAATTCAAAGTAAAGGTAAACTATACTGTACTAAGTGGTAATAAAGACAACAAATACACTCAACAAACATTTATGAATCATAATCTTGTGATTAGTTTTGTAAAGAGCTGCTTACACTTGCGATTTTGCAGCACGATTGTCACACAATATAATTGCTACTTTGCTCACTGGGCACCCCAAATCTTACATGGAAACAACCCTGCATTTGTCACCACAATAATTGCAAGTGTGAATGGGCCTTAACAATGTGTCTAGTGAAATCCCACAGTAGTTGTTTTTTTTAACTGCTAATTTCTCAAGAATAATTTCTCAATACTAATTTTAAATATCAAAATAATTATTAAATTATTAATTGTTACATTATTTATTGTTTTTTGTTCTAGCTGCAGGAGCTTGTTTCCCAGATTTCTCCTTTGATGCAGCTTTCAAAGCTTGGAAAAGTTTCAGCAGAGGTAAGCTCATTTTGTTTATATTTTCTTGGAAATTCAGCACAARATACCTACTATTAGATAGGTGAATTATTGATCATTGATAGAGTACAAACACTAAATGTGTGCAACACTTTCAACTATTTACTACAAAATAGTTATAATGAAAGAATAGAAAACAATAGAATTAGCATAATTTAGCAGTATTTAGTGGTATTTATGTTGCAAAGTTGTAGTAGTGTTTTTACTCTACTAATGCATTTATTATTTTATTGTCCTCGTTAGGGTTCTAAATATATTGAGCTCAAATATAAACTTTATCTAAAGTAAGTATGTTTTTGTACAAAATATCAAATTTCCAATGTCTTGACAACATAATGTGCTATGTTTTTGTACTGCAACATCATGTATTATGATTGATTTTCTTGTCATCTTGACATCTCGTTTATTRTTATGTTTTTATATTGCAGTTACTGTATAAATATTGCTTTTTATCTGCTATTAAAGTCAAAGCAAACTCCTGTAAAAGATCATCCCGTCATAGCAAGAATAGTTCAGTACAGAAATGTAAGTAAACTAGGTTAATATGCTGTAAAATCAAAATTACAAGCTTACTGTTGGTCACCTTGCAAAATAAAAGCAAGGATTTGGGAAGAAGTCTACTTAATATTCTTATACTTGTTGTTATTTATAAATATTTCCAGCTGATAAAAGAGCTTGAGCCAATTGACAAGAATCTAGAGTCCGATATAAATTTCCTTCTTGATAATAAAGACATGATATTACAGCAATCTGGTGAGTATGGAGTTTCTCAAATTGATAAATAGTGAGTGTAGGTGTAATAAACGCGTCCATTTAACAAGCTTTTAAAAATCGCAATTATACATCTCAATGCTTTGCAAAGATTTCAGGCAATACTGTAAATTGTGTTTATTGTCATCATTGTTATTATTATCATCATCATTCATAATTATAATCATTGTTGAATTGGTTGCTTAATTGCAAAATATTATATGTATAGTTTACAACATGAGCGGCCGTGTTGTATGGGAATTACAATCTCGAGCCGCAGGCGAGAGATTGTAAAAATTCCCATACAACACGGACGCGAATGTTGTAAACGACTTATAAAACTCCAACACAAATTAACATGAATTACAGTGAGATAAATGACGAAAAATGACAAATAAGGTAACTGCTGAGTTTAGTCCCTATTTAGCATGCGCAATTTACTGCAACACAGAACATTTTGAATAATTATCCATCCCACATGGAAAGCAAGCCATCTGTTGCATAAGCGAGTTCTGTTATCCGTCTTTGATTGCTTCAAAACCTAGTGAAGGTCTATGATGCGACACTAAAACTGAGACCTTTGCTAGTGTTGGGTTGTCTCAATGGTGACGACCGTGTTGTAAATCCGATACAACCACTAGTGGTTGTATCAGATTTACAAGGTCAATCACCTGATTAAATGGTCAGCCCTTATTGGAGCAATAGCTTATGCATTATTAATAAGTTTTATAATATCTATGACTTGAGAATAAAAAAAATTCCTTTGCATTATAGAAAGCACTTTCGAAACCACAACAACAACATCAAGAAATACAGCAAAAGTAGGTCTTAAACTTAAACATTGAAAAGTATATATAAAGTTGGTTGCTGCTAGAGCACCACCTCAGACTGTAATGTTATTGAGTTTTGAGTTCAAACTGCCTTAATTGTCTTTCAGGCTGAAAATTCCAAGGAAAAGAAGAAGGCCAAGAAATCAAAAGCTAAACTTTTTGATTTGCTCAACGACAGTGATGAAGATGAAACAGAGGTAAGCTTGATTGGGGTTGATAAGGTTGCATGTGGAGAAACTTAATTATTTCAAAATTAGCTGCCATCATGTCATTAAATTTAGAACATTGACTATTGGAACCAAGGTAGCCTGATTTTCAGACTGGCTCTGTTTTTCCTAGGAGCGTGATGTTCAACCTCCACCAAAGAAATCCAAGAACAGTGCATCCTCAAATAATATAGACAGTGAAAATCCCTTGGATTACTATGAGAAGGTTCGCTTGGAGAAGGAAAAAGCCAAAGAAATCAAGGACCTTGCAGCAAGGTATGAAAATCAAGGGAGGGACTTTCATTCTCTTCATCTACCAGCACCCCTATAATGTGTTCCAGGGAGGAACTACAATCATGGACATAATTCATGGGACAAAGTGTATGTCTATATGTCTACTAAAACTTACAGACAATTTCCCCCCGTGGCCCCCCATTTCCAATGTTGGGCTCGAAACAAACCCTCCCTCCATACCGAAACATTCCCGCCAACAACATTTTGTTAAACAACATTGACTGTGGCGGTTGGGGGGAGGCTTTGAGTAAGCATTAAAAAAAGACCATAAGAGAGTGCATCTGCTAGAGCGCAGTAATAGCGTTCTGTCCTATTCAATTTTGTCTAGGATTGTAGCTGGAGCTTGGCCTCCAGAGACTCAGTGTTAATGGTGTACTCATTTTACTCTTCAACCTCTCTTTCCATCCACGCTCCATATCAAATCATTTTTATTTTCATTTATCAAAAAAAAGCTAAAACATCATTGAATGCCAGATGTTAACATTTGAGATTAGCATTGGTTTAACTCTTTGAGAAAATATTGTCAAGTACAAACTCAAGTATTATTTAGTTTATCTGACTAGGTAGTTTTGCTTTTATCAATCATTGACATAATCATTAACATATTCATTAACATAATCAGTATCATAAACATTATCATTGTCATTATCATTATCATTATTAATTACTATAATTATAGTAGTATTGTAATATAATTAAATTCCATGTTTTGATGTTTTGCAGGCTCATGCACGAGCCTCATCTGGAGCTGGAGGACTTGGATGTAAATGAGGAAGGCAAAAGAGCTATAACTTATCAAGTAAGACTGTTTTTCCATTCTTCTCTTTGTTTACTATGATTATATTGATCATTTTATTATCTTCTTATGATTTCCTATATGGATTTGAATTGATATGTGACCAGAACTTGCTAGAACCAGCGATGTACATATGTAGAGTTTCTATAGTCAATGACGCCATGCTATAGA